TAAAAATCACTACTTATTATTTTCAGGTAGATATCAGATACAATATTTTTTTCTACCTATCATTTACACTAAGATATCAAGAGAAAGTAATCAAATCGTTTATATAGAATTTTTAGTAGAATATAAAATAACTTTTCTTTAACTATTTCAGCAGCAGTTAAAGCACTCACCGCAACAGACGAAAAGGTAATGAGGATCTTGAGGTAGAGGCTCGCCCCCCCTGCGCTCTCGAGGTCTTCGTCTTCTGCGCATGCGTCGAGTGCGGGAAAAGGATCATCCCACGCTTCAGTTGTTTGTTTCGCACACCCAAGAATATCTATCCAGAGTTGTTTTGAAGAGATGCGGTTGTTGATTTGTGTTTATATGTGCAGTGTGTACCTAAAATAACACACACACATAAAGATGAATACGCACACACACACCTGACCTCCCTTCATTTCGCTTAACTTGTTTTGCCTTTACCGTGTTGGTTCTCCCTTCTATCACTTCCCTCCTCTCCCTTTCTTCATCAGACCTTAAAATTAAATCCAGGTGGATTTCGAAATCGCCTCATATTTCAATTAATCTCGTGCTTTGTGTATATATATATATATATATATATATATATATATATATATATATATATATGTATATGTATATATATATATATATATATATATATATATATATATATATATGTATATGTATATGTATATATATATATATATATATATATATATATATATACATATATACATATACATATATATACATACACGCATACACGCGCGCGCGCGCGTGTGTGTGTGTGTTTGAATGTGCGTGCGTGCACCTTTCAAGTTAGCAATTGGGTACCGCTACGGGGAATGGGGGCATCGTCGTCTTAATTTCTGTCAATCATTACACAAAATCCAATACTCGATTTCAGTTGGTTTCATACTTTTTGCCGCAGTCTTCATAATTTTACAGTCTAAAAACGTTTAATCTGTCATAGCTATTAATTAAACTTACTAGTGATCTAATTAAATGCTTAATTCAGGATTTTTTTGTGGTTTCAATATTATATTTGATCAGTGAAATCCCCGGATCAGTATGGCAACATTCTGCCCCAAGATTCCCACTAGTCCTGAAAAACTTCGCATTGGATTAAATATCACTTGGTCTCGTTCAGCTATCGTATTTTGCTTCCTTATCCCTGCCTTTATTTACCACATGGGTAGTATATTTGCAACAAGCGGTAATAACTCACACTGGCTTCCGTCGATGGCGTGGGAGAGTTTTCTTCCCGTGGAATGTAAACAACTATTCGATTCTATAGTCGATTTGGGCCACGAATACTTTTACGTTTTCCTGATTCTATCTCTAAATGCTGTGGGTTTTAGTGAACAGGATGTAGAAAAGTCAGGTTCGAATTCATTAAATTGACGAAATATAAACAAAATTATTCGTAATGTGTCCCATGCTGTTGGATTATGAATACATCTTTCTGTTTTTGCTTGTTTTGTTCATTGTTCTAAAATTATAGGTAGGGGAATTGTTGGCAATCATGGTCTTTGTTTAGGTATAAAAATGCTCCAGTTGGACAAATTCCGACGAAAGCAGAGTTACTTGCACACCATATGAATGTGAAGCTTAATCAAGTTAAATTATTTAATACTGTGTTGCTAATCTTGTTTACGTAATGAGAGCAATTGACGTACATTTTGCAGCTCTTTAAGACAGCTGATTTTCTTATAATCATGCTTTTATTATATGCTAAACTCATTTTATTATATACTACATATTTATTATATGCTAGACATATCTTACTGTGTGCTAAACATATGTTATTATATCCTAAACATTACATAACAAACTATTACATAACAAACACTTCTTATTATATAGTAAACATTTGCTCGAAACACAAACACGTTTTTCATGATATCAAATATCGCGTGGAGAGCGAGAGGTTTTAGCCATAAAGCTCCGTTAATGATCACATTTTCATACACCTGCGTATTTTGGACAGCAATTGAACGTCTTGACCATTTCCATCTATTGTTCCTGAAATTGCAGGCTAACATTCCCATTCTGAGTGTACCTTGTTTTCGGAATTTGCAATAGAATGCTGGGAAAAAAATAAGTTCGAGAAAAGGTGTGTGTGGCATCGTTCTGGTGAGAAAGCAACATGGAAGAAAAACGCTATACCTTTTGCGTTAATGTAATATGATCTTTATTTCCTTCCGATATTAAATATTGTAAAAGATATAAAGATGCAGAGATGTTAATGGAAAGTGAGTTAATACTGGAAAACAACGACCCTAGAAATTTCAGGATCAGAGGAAGTTATAAAATGCAGAGAAAAAAATATGTTGCAATATCAATGGAAAGTGAGAAAATGACATAGTTTTCAGGAATCCCGAGACTGAATGATGACACACTAACTACTTAGGACAGAGGAAAAGCGTACATCCTTAATTGTATCTATCAATTGTATCTCCAGTCATTGCTACACAATTATTATAATTACTACTTTTTAATGTAGCCATTTAATTATGAATAAGTGGAATTTAATACTTGATTAAATGTATTTGTAGCTAAGAGGACTACATTTTTTTCTTCATTCTCGATTTTTATGAGCGATGTTGCGAGCAGTAAGTTGTAAGTATGAATATCAGAATGCCTGCTATGCAATCTCATTTCCAGATTCGTCTGTTCGAGCGTTGAGATTATTGTCATTGTGATCGTTATAATCATTATCACTATTATTATTATGATGGAAATTAATTATATAGTCAAAAACCTGATATACACTGGATTTGGAAGCCTGAGAGAGCCATGCATCTTTTATATCAAATGGAAAATATTAACAATAATAATCATGGCAATGGTAATGATAATCATAATAATAATGATGGTGATGATTATTGATACTATTATTGTTATTATCATTATTATTATCAGCATCATTATGATTATCATTGTCTCCATTGTCCTCATTATTACTATCATAATTATCATTACTAACAGTAGTTAGTATTGTTGAAATTATTATAGAAGTTACACCACAATAGCCCTGTTTGGATCTTTAACAACTTATCCCCAATGGTGTTTGTATAATATGCTTTTGCAAACAGAAGGTAAATTAAGTTCTGTTCTCATATTCACAATCCTCGTTGTTCTAGGGGAACCGAGAATAATCACTCATGGCCTCATTTTGAACAATTTCTAAACTACCTAACTAATGATTCCTTGACCATTATGTAAACGGGACGTGGATAGTCCGCAGAGTTTGTAACAAGAAACAAAGGGAACCGTACTTAAATAGGTTGTAGCAAGCTGTCTGGAGCGAATTATATTACATCTTCATCTTCCGTTTCTTTATCAAAATAATTAATGTATAATATAAATTTAAATATGAGGAAGTGTGCATGTGAGAGCTTGTGAGTGAAAGCGGATGCGTGAGAGGATGAGTGAGTGAGCTTGTGAATGGTGTTTAACTAAGAGTTCTTGAATAAATGAGTTTGATAATCTCTGAGAGAACGTATGTGTGTTTGTGAGTGTGTCTGTACCTAAGGGTGTGTGAAGGTGAATGTGAATGTGCATGCGAGTTAATGAATGTTTATAGTCATAAGAATGTGCGTTGTGTCAAGTGTACATGAGAGCAGGTGTATACGTACAAGACCTTATACCAGATGGAAACCACTGATCAGAATTTTTTTTTTATTACAGTGGTTAATGGTTACGGCGCAGAGTAAATGTACTAATCATCAAAGGTTATATAGCACTATGGAAAGGCTGTGAAAGGGGTAAAAAGGGGGATTAGTTGATTAAATGTGCTACACGTAAAGTAATAGAATAGTATGACACTGAAAGGGAAAGTGGAGTGGGGTAGAAAGAGTGAGCATTTGTGGAGGACAACTAAAGAGTGGAATACCGTGCCCATGGCCCCCCTCAGACCGTTCATGACTAGCACAAAGTCAGCCTATTCACCCTTTTAACACGACTCTCAAACTTTAGGAAATGGATAGTACAAGTGGTTGGAGAATAGAAAGAAACGGTAAGGGGAAGAGGAGAAGACCGTGCAAGACCGAGGCCCAAGGCGGAGTGATCCCTGGCATTGAGCCTCAGTCTCCGTGTCCTAAGCCAAGCCAAGGCAACATCAGGCAAGGGACTAGGGGGGGGGGGGGCAATTCATTACATGATTAATGGATTCATCTGCAAGCTGATGTGCGCTGCTTTCTAGTTTGGAAATATAAACGATGGTAAACGGAAAATTAATATGATATTAACTTTATCATCATCAAACCGATTTGAGTAAAAGCATAACTTAAATGCCATAAAACCTCATCCCATGCAACTGATAATTTAGACGAACTCGTAATTCGTCAGTAATTTTTTATAGACATTTTATGCATGAAGAAAATACTCGAATATGGCGAAAGCCTTTTCGCTTTATTACTTGTATATCGAAGAGGGCTTCGGCATATTCGTGTTTTGATCATAACTTGTATTAGACCGCTGAATGACATGGGTCTAGCCCAATCCTTCCTAGTTATTCCTATGTGCTAACATTTAAACCGCAAATTTCTATGTCATCTATCCAATTATTTTATTTATGGCCTCCTTGTACTGGAGCTTTCATTTCATCTGTCGCCCTGCTTATTACCCACTGCCATTATACTCTTAATATCTCTTCCACTTTAACCTGTCCCCTCCTGCTACGCTCAAGGTTTTCCAATCTTCTGAACGCTTAACCATTTTCCTGGGTAATTTTGGTCGAAGTCCATATTTAAGACAAGTGTGTTATGGTAAAATCTTTGTAGGTTGTACACTCCCTTAACTGGTCTGGTGTTTATTTACGTGTTTAGTGTGCATGTTGAGTGAGTGAGTGAGTGCGCGCATATCATGCAGTTGATGTGTGTAGTGAAATACCTGAATAATAATTCACAAGGTTAAACTGATAAACCAAACACGTTCAAATATTTTACTCATCACTGGGTTCGATCGTATCATAAAATCTAGCATACATGTAACGT